TGTAATTTGAAATTTCATGCTCCAGATTTTATTCCAGTTATTCTTCACAACTTTCGAGGATATGACAGCCACATTATCGTAGAAGCTTTTGGTGATCCTGATGTAAAATCTCGTTTAAAACTCGACAACTCGATCAAGTGCATTCCAAATAATTTTGAAAAGTATATGTCAGTTACGCTAGGCAAATTACGTTTCACTGACAGCCTGCAGTTTATGGCAGCATCGTTAGATGAGCTAGTAAACAGCGCTGTTTGCGCCGGTAGTAAATTTAATAACCTACAAGACTGTTTTGGAGACAAATTTAATTTACTGACCAAAAAAGGAGTATTTCCATACGAGTATCTCGACGATTGGAGTAAATTTGATGAAACATCTTTACCTGACAAAGAGAAATTTTACTCGCAACTCAAAAATGAAAATATCACCGATGACGATTACAAATACGCACAAGATATCTGGAATAGATTTGATTGCAAGGTGTTTGGTGATTATCATGATTTGTACTTGAAAACTGACGTGTTATTACTAGCAGATGTTTTTGAAAGTTTTCGAGAAGTGAGTTATAATAATTATGGACTAGATCCGTGTTGGTATTATTCTGCCCCCGGACTGTCATGGGATGCTCTGTTAAAGTTTAGTAAGGTAAGGTTGGAATTACTGACTGATGTTGATATGTTCAATTTTATTGAAAAAGGTATCCGAGGCGGTATTAGCGTGATAACGAAGAAATATGCTGAAGCAAACAACAAATATTTGAAAGAGTATAATCCTGACCTTCCTTCGAAGTATATAGTTTATCTAGATTGCAATAACTTGTACGGGTATTCGATGGCAGAACCAATGCCTCTTGGTGGCTTTCATTGGATCACGGCTAATCAATTTCTATCAGAGACAGAAAAAAAGATACCCGACGATGTTTCGTATTTCGTTGAAGTTGATCTCGATTATCCTATTTCACTACACAGATTACATAACGATTACCCTTTCTGCGCGGAATCAATGATAATAGATTATAGTTTGTTATCTGAAGAACAACAGGCGTCAGCATCACCAAGACAAAATTCTATGGTCAAAAAACTAGTACCAAATTTGCTTAATAAACGTAATTATGTTTTGCATTATAAAGTTTTAAAACAAGCAGTCGATGCTGGTCTTGTGTTGAGAAAAGTTCATCGTGTACTAAAATTTAATCAGTCGCCGTGGATGAGAGGTTACATTAATTCAAACACTTCAAGAAGAGCTGTAGCTAAAACTGATTTTGAGAAAAACTTTTTCAAACTGATGAACAATTCCGTTTTTGGTAAGACGATGGAAAATATTAGAAAACGCGTAAATATCGAACTAGTCAATGATGTCAATCGCAGAAACAAACTTGTGTCAGACGATGATTTTGTGAGCATGAAAATATTTAATGAGAATCTTGTTGCGATACAAAGAAGAAAAACAAATCTAAAACTAAACAAGCCGATCTACGTTGGAGCTTCAGTGTTAGATTTATCAAAGTGGCTGATGTACGATTTTCATTATAATTTTGTTAAAAATCAATGGCCGGCTAGTAGATTATTATTTACTGATACTGATTCGCTCGTATATGAAATCGAATGTGAGGACGTCTATCAGGATATACATGATAATAGATATCTATTTGATCTTTCTGATTACCCACGTGACAGTAAATTTCATGACGACACAAACAAAAAGGTTATTGGTAAGTTCAAAGATGAAATGAACTCGAGCGCTATCAAATACTTTATCGGATTACGCAGCAAAATGTATGCCGTATTGTTAGACAATAATAAAATAACAAAAAAAGCAAAAGGTCTGCCTCGCGATTTTGTTAAAAAGGTTATGAAATTTGATGACTACAAGTATGCGCTCGGCGCTTGTGGTGGTGTTAGTTTTATAAGATCAATGGCTATACGGACAAATCATCATAAGCTTGAAACAGATGTCATTATCAAACGTGGATTGAGTAATTTTGATGATAAACGCTATTGTGAAAATGGGGTAGATACATTTGCCCTTGGGTATTGTCATGATGATAGATCTATCCTTGACATTATCTTTGCAAACTAAAATTTTATCTAAACTTATAAAATAATGTTTGAAAATTTGACAATAACAAATAGCTATAATAGTAACATTAAATATCTAATGATGGACGGTAAACAATTGACAGTTGAATTTAATAATGAAACATCAGGTATATGTTTTAATGGAACACATGACAAGTTAAAACTTTCGCTCATCAGATCTGATAACAGTGTGTATTTCAATTATATCGAACAATTGTATCAAAAGATGTTAGTGGAATTAAAAAACTTTCATGATCCGATTAGTCAACAAAAATATACTAAACTTACAATTGATCTTGATCGGTCAAAAGTATATTTTATCGACAAAAAATATCCTCTAAACAAACTAGAAATGAAAGTTTTGTTTGAGTCCCGTCGTCATGTGAGCGGTAAAGTAAAGTTTAGTCTCTATCACCATGATAATGAAATATTTTTAATATCATCAGTTGAAACATTAATCATTGGTGATGAGATATAATATCACTTACTTGTGAACTGACCTGCACCGTTCTGGTACAATTATCAGCCTTTTCATCTACTGAGAGAGGTAATTACCTTATACAATTATCAGCCTTTTCATCTACTGAGAGAGGTAATTACCTTATACAATTATCAGCCTTTTCATCTACTGAGAGAGGACATTACCTTATACAATTATATCTGCGCTAGAATCAGCCTTTAGTTTTTGTGTAGGTGAAAAAACTTTGGTGTTTTAAGGTCTTAAGAGAAGTAATTTGTATTTATTTTGAGGATGGGGATAACTTTTGCGCCAGAATCAGCCTTTTCATCTACTACTCACATGCAGAGAATAACGTCTTAAGATTTAAAACCAGCAAACTAGTGTAGCACCTCATCATTGTCCAGTAATTCAAATGATTAATAATCATTAATTTGATTAACTCGTATCAGCCAAGTTAATACATTTAGCATATTTAACAAGAACAACGTATTAAACTGATGATAAATTCACACACACACACACACACACACACACACACACACACACACACACACACACACTTTAACATTTTGATAGCTACAATTTGAAATTGTGAGCCCCGAGTGGTCGAGTGGTCTAAAGCGCTCACCGTTACAAATCACTACCATCTCACTTCTATCTGCGTGGGTTCGAGTCTCGAGTTCGGCCAATGTGCGTCTGCAAGAAATCTTGCCTTAACTTCCCATGGGTGGTGGTTCCTTCCGGGTTTTTCCTCCACCAACCCGGGTTCTTCCTCCACCATTTATACTGACCGCCACGTATGGCCCATCTTGCGTTGAAAAAAAGGCGTTAAACCCTACAACAACAACAATTTAATCTTTTAAAATGACTCTGTGAACAGTAAAGCAGCACTGTATGAAACTAGAATTTGGCAAAATAAATTCATCTGATTAATTTAGAACGTAAACTATTTTTGGGTGTAATTTCAATTCCGCGTTAGATAGGTAAACGTGTAGACTAGTTGTTTAAACATGTTTCATGTTTATTTCTTTATCATGAATATACTGTCCGACTGAGAAATACGTTTACCTGATGAGAAAACAACCGTCTTTAAGTCAAGCATCAGTATGGATGTAAATCAATTTTATTCGATTTGCAATAATTGCAAAATTATACGACAGTGTGACCTAACAAGAGATAACAAATAACCGAGACTAGTCCGAGTTTCCTCTGACCCTTGACACCCCATTTTTGATATTTGGTTTTTTTATGTTGGGGTGTACCCCAACATAAATAACCAGATATCAAAAATGGGGTGTCAAGGGTCAGAGGAAACTCGGACTAAACCGAGACATGTGTTAGGACAACGTACAAACTGTACATCAGCTTTTAGGAAACCTAAAACAGTTGTTGTGTTGGCTATTTATAAATGTAAATATACGTACGGGGACGTTCATATATGACGTCACACGCTTGGGGACGGGGAGTCGCACTTGTAATAGGGAGGGAATTGTCAAAAATCCAACAGAATTGCGTGACGTCGTATATGGTTGGCTCTTAAGGAGTAAGTACTGTTGAATAGTTGAAAGCATCATCAACAGAAGAAACGAATCCTATGTCAGACAAAGATGAACCATCGGACTCGTACCACATAGCAAAACATAAAATCGTGTATATCATTTACAAGGATTATACACAACCATGCAATCAGTTTGAAATACCATTGATCAATCTTAGTCTGGATCGTAGAAAATAGGTATCTATTTTGTGAAACCTCATGAAATATCCAACCTCTCTCACTACAACCTAAATATTAGCGTATTTTCTAAATCCATGTGACTTCAGTGTCATATATGGCTATTTAGTAACTTGACTGCGCTGAAATGATCAGAGAATATTATTTTTGTTATATCAAGGGAAGCAACTCGTTCTTAGGAGAATAATGATCCTAATAATTGTATCCCTTTCACGTTATTCCGCTGAAGGTAATACTTTTATCAGAAATAAAAATGTTTAAAGGAAATCACCATGATAATCCTAAAATAATGTTTGAGATCTTGATATAAATTCTCCAGCAATATACGAAGAAAAGGAAATGCAGATTTTAACATGAATTAGCAATATCTAATAGCAATATCTCCTTAGTCATGTTCTTCCGTCAGTTCTAAATGTAAATTAGTATCGATACAACCAAGTTTGCAGTGGTTCAAAACATTTCTTTTTTATGGCTCTCAAGAAAACACCGTGTGTGTATGTGTGTGTGCATTTAAAATAGCTTTTAAACAATGTTTCAGTCATACCATTACTATGTTTGCAGCTTAGTAGTTTATAGTGATATCTATCATTGGGGCATCATGTCTCAGAAATGTAGTATATTGTCCCACTCAGTCACATTATCCGGACATCAAGCCGACTAGTCAAAACCCTAACTTCATAATGCTGATCGTCAAATGAGGCAGTTGGAAGTACTATTTTTTTATCTTTGGTATTTCTCGGCTGGGGTTCGAACCCACGATATCCTGCATCCGAGACAGACGATTTTACCACTTAGGTTAAGAATGTATTGTGAACCACCTTGTGTTTCTATCTTCACTGTCAATGAGGCCAGGTGTCATGCCAATATTTTAGAATTCAGTCGCAATTGCAAGTCCGTTGCCTAAATTAAGTGCTTTTTAAGATAGATGGATATAGTTTGGTATACTTCTTTATTGTCACTAGAAGACGTATTACATTGCACATTGTGCGACTTATCTTCAAGGTCAATGGCACATATCAACATATTGAAGATTCATTTCTTTCTGCGTTATTTCATAAAAACTGTGAGGTAGGGTGATGAACCACGCTACACCTGTGCTTTTGAGTTTGTTGCATCTGAAGTGTCACGCTCAATATTTTAACATTAAGATCAATGTCACTTGTATTTACCTTTCTGCATCTTGAGATCAGTAATTAAAAATTTATTACTTTTTATGTCAATACAGTAACTTTACAAATCTGTGAAGGTTCTAGTTTCATAATAAGGTTAAATTATTTTGAACTATTGTAACCTTAACACAGGAGGTAGGGGACAAAAGTTAACCGAATGTGCTTGTTTTGTTAGTTAATTTTTCATTGACGTTTGAAGTCAAAATCTATTTTTAACATATATTTCTAATTTTTTTCCAGATATTTTATAGTGGTACCTCCTTTAATGAGAGATACTTTTAAGTCACGTTTTATTATTTTGAATTCACGTTCATACGTAGGTTGTCGAGTTGCGTGAATTACTTTTTAAAATCAGAAATTGTAAGGCTGACAAAAGCTCAAAGTTTTTAAAGGTCCAACAAGTGAATGCGTATCTTTGCAGTAAATAGGGCATTAATTTCTCTCAATGGTATGACAATATCTCATAATTTAGGCAATAGTGACAATTAAAGTTTCTGCAAATTTGACATAAATATGTTTCTAACACTTTCTGATTATCAAAATTCCATTTATTGTTACAAATGCTGTGAGAAAAAATGTTTATCATCATGAATTTTCCGATTAGCATAACACTTGTAAATGGAGTTGGAAGTTTGGGGTTGAGGCGAGTGGCCGAGTAGTCTAAAGCGCTCACGTTCCATATCACTTTCATGTTACCTCTGTCGGTGTGGGTTCGAGTCTCGGGCTTGGCTAACGTGGGGTACATGAGAAAGCTTGCCAGTATCCTCTCATGGGTAGGTGGTTCTAATCGAGGTTGTCCCGGGGTCTGCGTCCATCAGTTATACTGGCCGCCACGTTTAACCTATAATGCGCTGAAAATAGCGTTAAACCCAACAACAACAAAACCCCTCGTAAATGCTTGTGAAACGACTTTAAGTGCTTGTGAGGATTGTAATGGTTGGGGATGGGTGCTCCTAAAGGTTTATTCAAACTATTATAGCGGTCCCACCCAGGCTTTATTTTGTTAGAAGTTAACTTTAGTGAAAGATGGATGTAAAGCTCCGAGCACCCAGTCAGCAATGCCGAGGGTCAGATGGTTAAATATATAAAAAGTTTGAAATTCGATGAATGACAATTTAATAACAATTCAATAATCATATGATTCAAATTTACAATTACACTCCTACTGCTCTACCCCTTAACAAGCCTACTGCATCTCTTGATTAACAATGTGAGACTGATTTCAACCTGTCCTTGTATAACTATTCATCTGGTCTCTCTCTCTCTCTCTCTCTCTCTCTCTCTCTCTCTCTCTCTCTCTCTCTCTCTCTCTCTCTCTCTCTCTCTCATACACACACACACACACACACACACACACGCACAATTCATTCTCCACATTGTCCTCGACGTTTCTCCAACTTCCTTCACCTCTTCCTCGACTTTCTATAGATTCTTCCACCTCCTCCACTTTCCTCGACTCTTCTCTTCCATACCCACTTCGCAACAACATTTAGTCTTCTGTCGACTTTGACTGTCTCGGTTACAAGTCTGAATTAAGTCTCCAACTCGTGAAGACACTGGACGTAACGGAACGTGAAGTTCTGTGTCCCCCTAAAAAGCGTTCAGTGAAAACACAAGGACAGTACAATTTTTTTCCTTAGCCCTCTCATCTCACACTATATATACAGCCTACTATCAGATAACGGCTATTAAATTGCTTCCGTCACGCATTCATTCACATCGAGATACCCATACATTCTTGTAGGGTTAAAACGTCATGATAAACACGGTATCAATTACTTCTTTTATATACACCAATAAATTCCGTCACATCCATACATATTCCTAATCCCGTTATACTAAACAATATCACAAACTTAGAAGCATTTATTTACCTTACAGGTCATAGAAAGTACAAAATATATTCAAATATCCATGCTACAATATGCGCATACATTCATGGTAAATAATCTTACATACTTCAACCATTCCAAATTCGAAATTTAAGCATGTGTAAATTTTAACATAACGCATTAATAAATGCACTAGTTTTCTACGACGTAACCTAACAGCGAATTACAAAATTAATTCTGATCACAAGCTAACGATCTACATAATTCCGCCTCGCATATAATATTTCTCTACGTAGGCTCAAGCCCATGTCTTAAATACACATATAAATCAAACAAATAACTGATCCAAATAATTTAAGGATACATAATACAATTAATTACAATTATGATGCCTTAATATTCAGCAAAAATCCAGCAAAATAACATACTGAGTTTTTCAAAGTTTTGTCTTTCCTTAGAATCTACCTCTAAGTTTTGCCTCCAAATTAAGAGTGGCTTCGTTCTCGAAGTAACCCTATTGATCTGAAATCCCCGTAGGTGAATATTACATTTTATCTTACGCGTCTGAAGAATCATTTTGATTGGAATTGTAATCACACCCTCTATATTAATTCCGATTGGATATCGCTGTGAACTAATCCAATCAAATTTAGAGGACAATGTCCCTCTAGCCGTCTCTCAACGTGGGGATGAATAAGAATGCGCGCCGTTCACCACGTGGACTTCTTTAGCACAGAGGTGTGATAAATGCAAGCTTTTGTGTAGATCGCGCGATCCATTATCTTTGCCAATTCAAGATTTCGGTCTTTGCTCGGTCATGTAACCTTGCGTAATAGTTTAAAACCAGTCGGCGGCAATCTTTAAAATATCAATAGCTCCGGTAATATTCCCTAGACTGGTAAATTATAGATTACACCTGACTTTAGTTTGGGCTTAGCAAACATGACACTGATAATAAATGTCACGAATTAAAAGAGAATCTACATTACGATACGATTACGTCCGAATCAATTAAACCGTCATTTAATCTAAAATATATAGATATAATGTCTCCCTGCAATGAATGCATTACCAAAACGGATAGAATTATCGAAGTAGGATCCAATGCGATTATAACAAACCTCATATTCAGTTCTGTGGAGAAAAGTGTAAACATAATCCAGAAATGTTACTCAAGTAGGTAAGGTAAATTCCTCCTTGACTATAGAATATTTACCAGACATGATTTACTCTTAAGGTTTTAAATGCAGGGGACAATTTAAATAATCTACAACGTATTCATTTAACTAATAAGATAATGTTATAACATGAGTGATAACAATAAGTACTCTGCTAACTATTGGATATGACTTATTGTAAGGAGTACACAACATGACAGATTATATGGTAGTGATCATAAATTGACTAACGTACTGATTTTGTATCTGATGCCATGTAAGTATTGAAAACAATCAATTAAATCAATTATGATTTGGGATGGTTTCTTTGTATCTTCTTTCACAATGAATTAATAACAGAGGTTGTGCAAAGCATAATTTGCTAAAAGGAGTTTCATAACATAGTACTATGTGTGGTTACCGATTATAGAAAGAGTATGTTTGTAATAAATCTTTTGAGGACATGGACTAATTACCTAAGACATACGCAGTGGGGTTAGAAAGAATATGTTTGTAATAAGTCTTCTGGAGATATGAACCAAATTTCTCTTAGACATGTAATAAGTCTCGTTTAGACAAGATCTTTATTGACTGCATCGTTATCATCTATCCATCTTTGCTGTTACACAAGACTTATAATAGAAAGTGGTTCTGCAAAGGTGTCTAGCTAATTGTAATAGATTCCCAGGATGCATTAAATAAGTGACTAGAGCTGCGGGTTGGTGTTTACCAAGGTGCAAATACTTTGACCGGTTTGACGGCTATGAGAAACTTGTGATGTAATAGAACTAGCTTTTAGTCGATTTGAAAAAGCCCACAAGCAAACACAATGAAAAAACAGGAAAAAAAACGTCTTTTTATAAGAATTGAATATTTGTTTGAGATATTTTTTCGCTAGGACAGTGACTACATGGTACTCATGTGACATAAAAAGCATATGTTTTCAAGCAAGAAACTCTTGCTGTCATACATAAACAACACTACCGTACATCTCATGATTGATTGGTCGGAGTACATTCTTTTATTAGTAACTTTCAAAGTAATTAAGTTAATAATGTTTCTACATTACATATTGTAAAATATGTTTTTGTTCCCGCATTTTTTTGTGTATGCCTTTCTGAGCTTTCTTTTAATGTTTGGCTGGTTTGAATAAATTAATTCTTCACTTTAATCCAGAAATCCCTATTGGTATCGCCATTCGATTCATCATTTGAACAATCTGCTAACTGTCTGAACCCATTTTAAAATGCCATTTATTGTTCTTGTTGTATAGACTCTTTGTCATGAAACTTAGGGTTGTTCTTTATGCCTTGGTAAACGTTTTCTGTCTCATCAAGGATAAAGAAGAATTTTCTAAATGTATCTGTCTAGTTTCTTTTAACTTTTTCCGGTAAATTTGTATATCAACCACGTGTTTAACTCTACAACGGGAAATTGTTTCTCCAACTTTATTGTTTTGCTTGTAAATATGAATAGCACGAAGACATCGCCAATAATCATCAAGCACATGACGCTGGCATCTGTATATATATTAAATTTTGTTAACATATATTTCTAATTTATTCCAGATATTTTATAGTGGTACCTCCTTTAATGAGAGATACTTGTAAGTCACGTTTTATTATTTTGAATTCACGTTCATACGT